TTGCAAAAATTGGGATGCCAAAGGAGGGAAGAGCAAGTCCTTTTTTTCTAAAACACTTGATGACAGGTTTATTATAAAGGAAATCAAGAAAGCAGAATATGAATCATTCGAGAAGTTTGGTTTACATTATTTCAAGTACATGAATCAATCATTCGATTCTGGAAGCCAAACATGCCTTTCTAAAGTTTTTGGGATTTATCAGGTTTGCTATAATTTTCTTTTATAGTTTTTAAAATATGTAATCACTCCATTCTTTGCTCATTTTCTTGAAAATTTGAACATTTTTCAGGTGATAGTAAGACAGCCTAAAACAGGGAAAGAGTTGTCGAGACATGATCTTATGGTGATGGAGAATCTTGCCTTTGGTAGAAATCTTACTCGACTATATGATCTTAAAGGGGCCTTACATGCTCGATTCAGTTCAGCTGCTGAGGGATCTGGAGATGTTCTATTGGATCAGAACTTCGTCAATGACATGAATTCCTCTCCATTATATGTTAGTAATCAAGCCAAGCGTATCTTGCAACGGGCTGTATGGAATGACACAACTTTCCTCAATGTGAGCTTTAACATCTTTCTTTTGAATAGTTTTCAAAACTTTCCTTTAACCCTCTCACGGCGACATCCCAAACTGAACCCCATATATAGATGTATATATATCATCTGTAGGTTACATTTCTCTAATTTAGAGTGAGACATAGACTGAGTTGTGTTCTTGTGCTTTCATTTGCAGTCGATCAATGTAATGGATTACTCTTTACTTGTTGGGGTGGATATGCAGCGACAGGAGCTTGTATGTGGGATTATCGATTATCTAAGGCAGTATACTTGGGACAAACAACTCGAAACATGGGTCAAGTCTTCATTGGTTGTTCCTAAGAATCTATTGCCGACCGTGATTTCTCCGAAGGAATATAAGAAAAGGTTCAGAAAGTTCATGTCAACTTACTTTCTGAGTGTCCCCGACCATTGGTGTTCACAGGGATCCCCCGACCCTTGTCAACTTTGTGGCACTTAGGATGATGCCCTTTTCTCAAACCAAGTCCCTAAATGGTACTGCTTCCTACTTGTATTCTTTGTTCCCCATTTTCCTTGAATCATTCCTCATTCTTCATACGATCAGTTGAAAATTGCTGTGTATATATATGTTGTATATTCAACCCCCCATTATCATGCAATTTTTAGCAAATTTCTGGGGATAGTTTCAGTTACCATTCATCTTATTATGTTCATAAATTTGTATTTCTGAGTGGAACCTGTAAAGAGAGATGTCGATGTGGAATCAATGAAAAGTTTCAGCTACCCGTTTGTCTTCCCGGTGCCTTGTGAAAGAATTATTTCAAATGACGATTTCCATCATTTTTAAATAGTAGTTGAAGCCAATCACACTTGTTCCCTCCCTCTTATTTTTTATTTTTATTTTTGAAATGAGGGCCTCATTAAAAATCCCTTCTAAGCCTACAAGGAGAAAAGAGTATCTACATAAATTTCATTACTAAATAAAAAACTAAGCTAGTACATCGTTTCGAATAATCTCGAAATAAACCGAGTCAAAATACATAGCATTACCAGTAGAGATGCACAGAAGCCGGATTTCAATCCGATCCGGATCGGATAAAAACCGATCCGGTTTTTTCTCCCAACCCAAAAAACCGGATTTTAAAAAAACCGGTTCGGATCCTAACCGGTTTGGAGGGTCGGATGGTGTAACCGGTTTCGGTTTGCAAAAAACCGGTTTTTTAAAAAAAACCGGATTTTTTCGGATAAAAAACCGGTTTTTTATCCGGATAAAAAACCGGTTTTTTATCCTGTTTGAAAAAACCGGTTTTTTAACCGGTTTGAAAAAAACCGGTTTTTAATCCGGTAAAAAAATCGGTCGTTCAATTTTTTCTCAAACCGGTTATACTATCCGGTTTTTAAATATCCGATCCGGTTTTAAAAAAAAACCGATTTTTCCAAAATCCGGTTTCGGATATTTTTTACCCAAAATCGAATATTCGGATTTTTTGTGCACCTCTAATTACCAGTACTAATAGCTCATTTTGCAAGATTATGAGCAATAATATTACAATCATGTACAATATAATGAAAACTAAACCCATTAGAAACATACAACACTTGATGCGTCTCAGATAAATGGATCCCGATCGTCGAAATGTCTTTAGTATAACGATGAAGCTTATTGACCAGTAGCTGGGAATCAGTCTCAATCATCACATTCTATCATCCACAATCCCTGGCCAAATGAATACCTGCGATAATTGCATATGTTTCAGCTAGCCCTGCTTCCACACATCCTAGAGAAGTCGAGGCGATTCCACCTAAGACCCCACTATTTGAGTACCAGGCAATGACTCCTATAGCTGCCATTCGATTTCGTGGGTCAAAGGCACCATCAACATTCACCTTCACTACACCGTGCAGAGGAGGCTTCTAGCGTGTCAGATTTAATCCAAGAACAATCCCATCATGAGCGCTTGGAACATAGTGAGGATCCGTCTGAGAATTCTGAGCTTGGACAAATTCTGCCCAAAGTGACTTCTCATTCGCCAATAACCCAAGGTGAATGAATAATACCATCATGTATCATTGCATTACGTCCATTACAAATATTCCAAAAAAGCATTATGAACCATACAAAATTTCAAGATCAAGAGCAGAAAAGAATGTCTCAAGCCATTTTAAGGGAGATATTAACTGACTAAATAAAAAGGAACATGTCAACCCAACTATTATGAAGGTTTTTTGGTCGTACGAGCAATCACGAAGAAGGTGCACCACTGTTTCCATATCTCTGTTACACATAGGGCATAAACCCGTCCCTATACTTACAGTCAGAAGGCGGGAACCAACCGGGAGCCCTCCACGCGCCATCCTCCAAGCAAATAACCTGACCTTAGGAAGTGTTCGAAGCTTGGTAATGATTCGAATTTGTCTCTATATCCAGATCGAACCGAATAAATCCCAGAATCATGATCGCCCCAAATAATAATATCCTCCGAGCAAGGAGCTATCACCGTTGATAAAATGAGCTCAACATCCGAGGTCGTAAAAGTCGAATGCACCTTCGTCTCATCCCACCTAGGTTGTCCTTTATACATAAATTGAAAGCCACATAATCTGTCTATTAGAAGTGATATAATCACCTGTTAGGTTAACCAACGTGGAAACACCCCGCTTATTTGTCACCAGGTTGAGCTTACTATCCGTCCCTATCCTCCAATAAAACGCTCCATTAAATGCTTGAATTGCCTTGTGTATTCCTTTCCATTCAGAAGAGCTTTTATCTCCAATAGGAGCATTTAAAAGATCCCCATTTGGAAAATATTTTGTTCTAAGCACACGGGATAGAAAACAATTTTGTTGTGTAATCAATTGCCAAACATGTTTTCCAATTAGGGCCATATTGAAAGAACGAAGATCGTGAAATCTTAATCCCCCACGACACTTAGGTTTACAGATTGTTTACCAAGCTACTAGAGGCCATCCTTGTTCAGAAATCTTACCCGTCCACCAGTATTTCCGCATTATACTAGTCATCTCATTAAGAAGATGCTTCGACAGTAGGTAGCAGGACATTGCATATTGAGGTAACGCGTGTGCCACTGATTTAAGGAATACTTCTCTGCCCCCATACGATAATAATCTTTCGGTCCATCCAGTTACCCTAACTATGACTTTTTCGCTTATATAACCAAAGGTGTTAGTTTTATTTTTACCTATATGAAGGGGAAGACCAAGATAATGTCCCAGGGGTTGAACTTCTTGAATACCAAATATATTTGTCATACCAAATATATTGGGACTAAAATATATAGCTGATTTGTCCAGGCTAATTCTTTGCCCAGAAGATGATACATACAGTGATAGAATCTTCTTGATGTTATTAACTTCAGAAATTAAAATTTTCAAGAACACTAAACTGACATCTGCAAACGACAAATGGGACATACGTGGTCCAACTTAACATTCTCGAATACCCTTAATATCGCCTACTGGTTGAGCCTTATGAAATAATGCAAATAGCCCCAGTGTAATGAAAAGGAATAAGAATGGGGATAAGGGGTCTCCCTGCCTTAATCCTCGACTCGGAGCAAATTCAGTAGTAAGAGAACCATTTACCCTAGCAGTGAATGTAACGAAAGTTACACATCTCACAAGTAATCTCACAAACTCATCACATAACCCAATCTTCAAGATGACACTCTCCAAGAAGTTCCATTCTATCCTATCATAAACCTTCTCAATATCCAACTTAAATGCTGCCCCTTTGTTAATCTCATTCTTAGAAGAATTCAAGTAGTGCACTAACTCATGCGCTACAAGAATATTGTCTGAAATTTAGAAAATAAAGGTGATTTAAATTTAATTATTATTGAAAACGAAATGTTACTTTTGAAAAATAATTTAAACGGTTTTTAGTTTTAATATAAATTTATTTCTAAAAAACAAAAAGAAAACCTGATTAAGTTGTTACCAAATCTAATGTTAATGCATGTCAATACCCGAGGTTGACATATAACTATTACTTTCGAATACATTATTCATTATTATACATATGTATAAGATTCATTATTATAAGGTTGGAATTATGTTCTTGTTTTTTAACTATAACAACGAATAATATAATTGGGTAAATAGATTTTAACACAAAAATAATACATACCGATGATTAAATTTATATATGAAATAATAATAATAATGAATGAAAAAGTAATGGATGTGAAGATTCAAAGGCGCCTGGGCTGGATGGTTTCAGCATTTCGTTCTTCAAGCGGTGTGGGAATATGTTGAAAGGGGACTTATTTGATGTATTTTTCCGAGAAGGAAAATTGAAAAATTATTTATTATTTATTTAGATTGTTATTTACGCTTAATATATATAATTTTTATAATAATAAGATTTATGTATCGATTTACAATCAAAACTATATATTACATGGATTGAAATACGAAAAAGAAAAGTTTGGGACTAGGCCAAATTACAATATCGAGAAGTACTGGTTCGAACAAAATACATGCATAACAACATACGATAACACATTATTTCCACACCTATATCCATATTGAGTCGCTTATTTGAACATCAAATCAAATCCTTAGCATAGGAGAGCATTAAGTAAATTAAGCACTACTGAGGTTGATGGTGGTGGCATATCGCAGAATTCCAACGGCTGTATGCGTGGCGTCCGAGGAAGGTCGAGCAGTGATGTAATAATGGCCTAGATTCTGGTATGGGCACAACAAAACGTCCGTCACCTGGCCGGGGGCCAGGGTTAGCGAGCTTCTGAAGGATCGTCGGCTGTATGCCCCGTTTTGTCCGACAACGGTGAGGCTGTGGTACGCGATACGGAACACCATTGTGTCGTTAACCGCATTTATCACGCGAACAAGATAAAGTGCCCCGTAATTTACTTGATAGTCGAACGTCGTATCTGCAACAACATACATTTTAGCACCTCATAAGGCTCGGCATAAAAGTATATTGCAGGCGTACCGCTGCTGCATCCATATGTTTCTCCGGGATGTCCGTTGATGGTGTACGCGTCGGCTTGGCCGGAAGCTATGTTTTGATTGGCTTCGGTTAACTCTTGCTTGAACCATTCTCCTGAAAGAAGAATTCGGCAAAAACAAGCGTTGAGATTCAAACAAAGTTGCAAAATATATGAATGAAACAATTAAAAATATGAACCAAGTATGATTGTTTGATCTGAATCAGGTGTAAGGAAAGGATAGCCTTCGTTGGGTGCAGGCAAAACGACAAAGGCTCCATGGACGGTTGTGCTAGCCCATGCACTGGTGGCGTGCCACCATAGAGTGCCAATCTCATTGTGTAATTCAATATGGTAAGTGAAGTTTCTTCCTGGCTGAATCATATCATTTGAACCATTAATTGATTCCTCAACGCCCTCCCTGCCCATGTTCCCGAAAACCCACCGTTAGTATTTATACGAGACAAATTTTATGGTAGAAGATAAATATATAATCAGATACGGACAGATTTTATGGTAGAAGATAAATATATAAAAAAAAATTACAGTGCAAGTGCAGTTCATCTATCGCTGTATATGATCGATTATTTAGCTCATCAGAAAACTGGTGGAAGCTACTGGAAACAACGTAAAACATAGAGTGATAATAGGTAAATATATTACCACTTGATGGAAAGAGCGGTGTTAGCTTGATTGTGGACATTGACGAAAACAGTGTCTCCTCTGCGAACTCGAATTTCAGGCCCTGGGAAGCTGCCGTTTACAGTCAAGATGTTCTTGGTGCTACACAGCTTTGTAAACTGGGATTCTTGCAACTAATTTAAACAGAGACCCAGAATCAAAATCCGGCACCAGCTGACCTTATTAACAGAAGAAATTAGAAAGATGCAAGAAATTACTTACAAAGAAGTCGTAATAGTGGACATCGGCCGTGGATAAGACAAGGGTACTCAGAAACAGAAACCCTGAAATCCAGATGAACCCTTGTTTTTGAGAAGCCATCTTTTTGCACCCGTGTTCTTCAGGATCCCCTGTATTTGTAATCTTCTGATCGATTTCTTATTTCTCAATATAAAGAAAGAACAAGAGTTTGGTCAAGAAATGGCTAAAAAGAAAACCCAAGTTTCTGAAATCACCAATCCCCAATCGGAATTGCAAAGCTCAAACTATTTGCAATAGAAAATTGATGAATTCCCAGAGGCGTAGGCCGGAAGGCAAATAATGGTAAAAGTCAGACACAACTGTTTTAACTTGATCATTCGTCCTCGTCCCACCTAATTTGTCTTTGAAAATGAGGGTTTGATGGAAAATGACTTTTTCATTTTTAACGGATGTAAAGGAAGCGAGATTACAGACATCCTATCACTAGGTCTATTTTAATCTTATTTTCTCGGATAGGTATGTCAACATGGAAAAAATATATTAAACGTTTCTAGTTGTTCTTCACGTCAGTTTTAATTAATAATATTTATCTATGTCATTTTTTTAATGAAATTTTTTATCTCATTCTTAAATATAAATAAGAAGTGAATAATTATTTTAAAATTATTTTAAAATTTATGATTCTCATTCAATAAGATCATAGATTTTGTGGTGAGCATGATCCATCAAATAATTTTTCGTTAATTCGGGTAAGTTAACTTCATGAAAACCAAGGTTGAACCGTTTTTCAATTAAATTACTTAATGTTATTGGTATGTTTTAGTTATATATATATTTTTAAAATTTAGTCACTTTTTTAAATACTTTAATGTGAGTATAATATACATTATAAATATTAAATAATAATATTAAATAAGTTATATATATAAAATATTCGTTAATAATCTCTAGAGTAAGAAGTGATTAAAACTCAAAAGCTCTCAATCTACATCTGACACTTTTTTGAGTCTTTATTTGTTTTCTAAATTGTGAGTTCAATAACCATTGTAAGTAAAATTCTAGTTAAAAATTATTTCAAAAAATATAAAATATTCATTGAATTCATCAAAGAGTTTCAGTGATAAAAAATTTATTCTTCTAAAAGATATCAATTAAAACAATCACATCTATAAAATATATATATATATATATTAATAATAATTTAAATGTTTTAATCAAATATTATTATCCTAAATTGTTAAAAAATATATTCATTAAAACATTTGCAAGAAGTCGACAACTCCATTGTACAAGCAATTAAGGAAGGAATTTACGCCAGGTCCTCCCTACGAAATAGCCCAATATGCAAGCGTCCCTTTTTCTTATAGTTTTTGAATTTAACATTAGCGTTATAACCTCAATATATAAGAGAATAATTATTATATTTAGATGTGTTAAATTTGTGTAGGGATATTTTAAAATTTATTAATGAACAGTTAAGGATTTTTTTAAATAAATATCATATTACAATTTTAAATTAATAAAAATATAATATATAGCACTTTCAATTATAAAAATTATATTTTATGAACTAAGCGATCTCAGTAGTGAAAGACATGATTGTTATCTCCAAAAGTTACGAGTTCGAGCACCAAAAGCTACAAGGTGTTTGAGTGGAATGGTTGTAAGATTTTAGAACAGATATCACCACTTGTAATCACCTTAGATTAATCAAAAAAATTATATTAAAACTTTTGATAAATTATCCTATTAGTCACTAAACTATTATCATTTCTCTAACTTGCTCATTGATTATTTTTGATAAAATCATTGTTAACGTTATATTTGTTTTATTTTAGTGAATTTTGATCACTAATCATTAAATTTTCTTTAAAACTTAATTGAGATGATGATGTGTTGTAGTATAATAACAATTTAAGTCCCTGAAACTTTATATATTTTATCAATTTAATTCTGATTTGAAAGAATTTAACCCTTACTATTTAATGACAGTTAAACTTTAAAATTTCTATATTGCCTTTTTTCGGCCCTAAACACGAATTTGCTTTCTTTTCTTTCCTTTTTCAACTGGAATGCATTATCAGTTGCTACTCTAATGTCCAAAAATAGTTTTATCTTTTATTTTCTTAAGATTTGTATGCTTGTTAGCATTATAAGGACGTTCAATTTTTGTTTAATAATGAAATAGGAGCCTAGTTTTATGCTTTGATAAAAAAACAATTATTCTACAACATTATTTCATTTTTTTAAATATAGGGGTGAACGAAGTTCGACTCGACTCAAAAAATTGATTTTTATTGAATTCGACTCGATTGGCTTCAAGTTGTAATTTAATAAACTCAATTCTACTCAAAAAATTTCAGGTACAAATCGAGTTACAAAATACAACTCGAATAATTTGAATTTTTTTAGTAATTAACATATTAATTTTCAAGTTTGAATCGAATTCATCGACTCTGCATGATATATATATATATATATGTTTATAGAAAACAATTTAAGTCGAAATGAAATAGTACAATAATTAATTCATGTACACTTCTTCATCTAGTAGTTTATTCTTAATAATTTGACATGATTAGATCTTGTGTTTCGATTTCATATTTATTATGATTTGATACTAACCTATAGGGGAGGAAGAAAAAGGATGAGAAACTTGAGGTTTGATCAAATATATAGTGATTTATAGTAAATTTATGACTTAATTAATTGATAGAGTATACACATTTTGAGGTTAAAGTTATAATATTATCAGATCAATTTATTATTTTCACTAATCTTTTAAATGATCAAAATAAAAAATGTTATGTTAATAATGATTCTGATAAAAATTGATAGTCAAAATAGAAAAGCAATAATAGTTTAACGACCAAAAGGGTAATTTAACCTAAAGCTTTTAAACAATTTACCACCCACCATATATTTTTGTATATAATAAAATAAATTTATTTTAAAGTTGAACAAAATGTCCATATTGGTGGCTTTCGGACGGGTTTAGATAGGGTTATTTTGATTTTGAGATCTTTTGAATTCAACTATTCAAGTCCTTTTGTGTTTGATAAAAAATATATTTGTATTAAAAATTATATTGAATATATTTTAGACTTATATTTTTATTATTTGATATATTTGTATTAAAAGTTAAAGGAGTAAAACAATGGTAAAATAAAAGTTTGAAAGTTACAAAATAAAACTTGTGTCTCCTTTGATTAAATAAATAGTAATATAGGAAAAAACTTCATTGTTACCTAACTTTTTAAAATAATTTATTGTAACATAAAAAAGAGTTATCTGTCTTATTCCAAATTTCTCGTAATTTTAAGGATAAAAATGAAATTCTATGATTATATTAATTTCAGAACATCAATTTTGAATGAACTAAAGTTAAGATTTCATCATCTAAGAAACATATGACTCTCACCTATTCAAATCAACTCAATAGGAATGATTAAAAAAGGACCAAACGAAATTAATTAATATAATATATAAATAATAATAATAATAATAATAATAACAATTATAATCCTGCAAACCCAAAGCGAGAGAGATAGAAAGATACATCTTCATAAAGTGTTAGCTAAAATTTCTAGATTGTAGAGTTAGCAATTCTTCTCCTTCACGAAACCGAGGAGGCGGTCTTCTGTTTTTTTTCTTTCTTAAAAAAGACTTCGATCGTTAATGTCAACTTTAGAGAAAGCTACAGATAAGTGTTTAATATAACTATATTCACGACCGTTTACAAGATATTGAATTATATGTAACCAAAACTAATAATCAGTTGCGGACCAAGTGTTCCCTTTTTTTAATTTTATTTAAATAAACATCTTATTTATTTTCTGAAAGGTATTTAATGATAGAGTAATGTGTATGTGTGTCCACTTATACCATGAGCACTATCTCCATTGGTGTACGTGGACACACATACATACTACTCTATCATTTAAATAAATATCTTACGTAACTAGCATGAGTTCATGGAAAAGTCAAGAAAATAAACCTCTATCTTATCAAACTTGGATCGGTTCAACTGTATTGTGTTGTAAACATCGTTGTCTGAGAACGTGTTAATTAAGAAGACCTGTTTTTAATTACTTTAACTACGTACTCCAATTCAGAGTTAGCAACAAAGTCATACATGGCAGGCAGGTCGGACCATAAACATAAAATTACAAATGAAATTAATGTACATAAATTGTTACAAGTTGCCGATATGTTATCCAAATTAATAACGTAATTATTGTTAATTATTCACAACATCAGCCATTTCAAACCCTTGGTTTAGTATAAGTTGGAATGAATGGATCAAAATTATAAGAAATTAGCCTAATTTTCAGTGGTAAACTGTGTTTACATGGAAGAAAAGACTTTTCAAACTATATTTCACGCCCTCATCCAGAAAACTGCAGGGAAACTTTGTAATACTATTAAACAAGGATAGCCATGAACAAGTTGTAACAGGGATATTAAGTTAATGAAAACTGCATTAGCGAAATATTATAAAACGACTTTCATGGTCCAACATGGCATGGACGTGTAAAAAAAAAATTCAATTGAAAATGGAAGTTTCATTCTATATACATATTTTGGAGGATTAATTCAGTTTTAGCCCCCTCCAGCAAGAAACTTAATGAGCTCAGGTTTTGTTATCTAACTCGTTGAATTTTATGTGCATATAAAAATCCAACTTTCCAAGCTTACATGGCATGTGACGTACTTTTCCCCCCAGATAATGCAAGCTCCTTTATTTATATGTATAAATATTGGAAGAATTGTTTTCTCTTTGCCAAGAAAGAAAGTCGAAGGCTATATATAAATTGTATTTATGACCCAAAGACAAAGATAAGAGAATTCAGGGGATAACTAAGAACACATTAATTAGGAGGAGCAAAATGGGTTTAGGGAAACAAGGTTTTGTGTCTGTAGGGGTTTTATTTCTGACCACTTTGTTCCTTTTCTGTGCAGCAGATGTGCATTACTATGAATTCTTTGTGAGTGCCCTTTTTACCGTCTGAACTTAATGACGTCGTAATTAGTTGCTCTCTCTCTCTCTCTCTCTCTCGGGAAAAATGATGAAAAAAATATCTTTTAGTGACTGAGATTATGGATGGCGTGATAAAAAAATTTCATGAAATATTTTTTTCCAGAAAAACAGGCGTTAAAAAGTGAAGGATAATCATGACGGTTGCTTGTGTTTTTTTTTAACGGACAGCAAACTATGTACTATAGTTTTTCATAGTTTTTGTTGATTAATAATATCGTAGACATTTCATTTGGTGGTGGTTTTTTATTGCAGGTGCGAGAGGCGAACTTTACGAAGCTGTGCAACACGACGACT